TTTGCTCTGCTGCTTTAGCGGAGGAATGAGAATCTGCAGGACTGCAGCTAATCTGAGCAGAACTTTTTAAGTCATTGTTTGCAGGGGAGCCATTGGAGCTCTGCAGAGACAGCCTCTCACGAGCGGCTCGCGGCATGTAGAGAGGCTTGTCCGGCCTTTTAGGTGCTCTGTTCTGTGACAGGATAGAAGGTTTCGCCTTGACGTTGGATTCTTTTGTTGCTCTGCTGCCGCGGGGCGCTTCAGAGAAGCAGCTGGTGCTCTCTGCATCACTGTCTTCTTCCAATTCAACCCTAAATGAAATAGACACCTTCACACTATTGGCTTCTCTGATTTAATCAACAAACAAAAAATACCTTAATTGCTGTATAACTGTTGTTGATATTACTGTACCTGAGCTCAGAGGGGCAGACCACCACCCTACGGCACCAACTCTCCCCCACAGAGAAGGTAGTGAGCTCTGGTATGTCTTCCACCGTCCTGTGAATCAGGTATCTCAGTCTGCTTGGTAAAGGAGGGAACAGGAGCACGCTGCATGGAAACGCATGGAGGGAAGGCGAGCAAAGGTGTGAGCCGCTGTCATTTCTACATTTTCAATTAAAGACCTTTACAGGAACGGAAGCTATTCACTGAATAAAAGAGCTTCAAAAACCTCCTAAATGCATCTTAAACTATCAAATATTGCAAAGTTTAACAAAATCTATAAAACTTTCAAAGTTGATTTCATCCTTTCACCTAACCTAAGAATATGGCACAGGTAATACTAATTTATTCTCTGTCTTTCTTGTTTTAGAAGCTGATTGACAATATGTCACATATATGGGAAATCATTTCTATACGACAACAAAAATAAGCAGACATGGGGAACAACTGATTTTTTTAAACATTTCTTCTCACAAATTGCTCAGGTTTTACACATAATTCCACTGTTTACAAGCTTTTTCTAAAATATACAAAAAAGTGACATTAATAACATGATCAAAGTTGATTTCTGTCCCTTTTATATTGTTTAAATAATGAAGTTCAGACCCATTTTTAAAAGTAGTTATAGTTTTTTTTTAAAATACATGATCAACGTATTTCAGCTCAGCTACTAAATGATGTGCCCCTGATGTGATATTTGGTTTTCAGCTGCAAGGTAAAATGTTTCCCAAACCTTTCCCTATCAGTCTCTTAATTTTCTTGGCTAAATTTCACTTGCATACATTTAAATTCCAAAAAAAATAAAAAAAATAATAATAATAATGTTTATTGTTTATTTAATTGAACCCTCCTCTCACCAAAAGGCACAGAAACCAACCATATCAGTCTGCAATGTAACTATCAGTAAGCAGAGACAGCATTTGCTTATGGGCCCACGACCTCTTAGGTCACTGATATCTGGTTGGCCCCCTAAGCAATTGTAGACTAAAAATTCCTCTTAAACCCACCTGATACTATAGTGACTGACTGTATTTATACCACAACACATGCCAGATTTCAACATGATGGTGAGCCGTTACACCAAAACCAAAGCAGACAGTGGTGGTTTTAATTACTATGTTATTATAACTGAGTATAGTTCATTAGACAGTTGGTAAAAAAATACACTCATATGTTTCAAACCACAATAAAAATCTTAAAAGAACGATGTATTTGAGTATTTTATTTTTTACGCTACGACTTGAAATTATGGGTAACCCAGAGCATAGATAAGTGTAGGTAAGCATCTCCCTGAAATTAGTTTTTGGAACTTGGGATGTCTGTAACATGTGGTGGTGCGCGGTCACCAATGGTTCCATTCAAGGTTCCCAGTCACTATTGTTCTAGGTGTGATCATATACTACTGGGAACTGCATAATTGTATCTGCTTGGCCGATTTATGGAACTGTCGCTACGTGTTGTACTTCCTATAGGGCCCACCCAGATAATGTTGCTTAGGGGCCTATTGTTGTGTCGTTACGCCATTGCCAGTCAGTTCCCGATTAGGGGCTCCACAGAGGTACTGCATGGGGGGTCACGACAGTTTTGGCTGATTAGATATTTTGTTTATATTCCCTCCTTAATTTTTTTTAATAGAAACATCTTTAAACACACATTAACATGAATTCAACACACTGTAGTAAACAGATCAATGGAGGCAAAAGATGTCTTTCAGTCATCAATGCACACATTCAATGACACACAGGAGCTCTTTTAAGCTGGGCACCGTTTCATTCACAACACCTGTCCCATCAACCAAGAATCAGAATCAGAAATACTTTAATAATCCCAGGAAGAAATTACTTTCGTTACATTACTCTATATGTAATAGAGTGACTATAGGACCAGTTTTATGTAACACTATTTTATACAATATATATATAATTAGAGGGCCGCAACAACATGTTATAGATAGATAGATAGATAGATAGATAGATAGATAGATAGATAGATAGATAGATAGATAGATAGATAGATAGATAGATAGATAGAT